ATATTTGCAAATATAAAAATAAGGCAATAAACATCATTAAAATTAGATTCTCCCTTTTTATTAGTACTATATATACATATGGATAAGCTAAGTTTGTTAGCTGATGTAGCCTATAGTTAATAAACTACACTGATGCCAGTGGTGAGTTCCGGATCCTGTTGCAACTGGTACAGTGCAACGGGACCGGGCGTCCACCACATGAACGTGTGCAGTACACGCGCAGTGCACTCATGCATACTTACTGCCCACGATTCTCCAGATGTTCAGCGGAGCATCACGAAGGCGCCGTACACTCCATGTACGGAAGCCCAAAAAGCTCAAATACAAGTAAGGAGGGTGGGCAGGTGTGCCCTTCGGAGCACCGTACCGGAACAATACCTGGTGTTCCCAGCAGGCACCGGTACACCCATACCGGGGCGTACGGTCATATCCCACCACTGACTGATGCTCATATTTCACTTCAGCCCTCCTGCCATCATAAAAATACTCTGCAATGTTTTCCTACTCTAGAGTTGAAAAACAAGACTGCTTTGTGCTTGCAAACATCTCGGCATTACAAGGTTGCCTCACCTTACAAGGTGTCCTGGCTTATGGATGGACTAAATGTAAGATCAAGCATTTAGATGTCTAAAAGCGAACCTTTTTAAGATGTGTTTGGATACATAATTATAAAAAAGGACTCATTTGAGAGCACAAGGCACAGTGGGATCTGCAGGCGGAGGATAAGGTCAAAAAAGGCAAGCTAAAGAAACGTGTGTGTGATGCATATACACAAGGGACCAGCTTACATTTCAGTACAGCTTCCTTGTCAATTTTTATTCCTCTTCCCACCTTTTCTATGGATGCTGATGACAAACCAATACAGTACATCTGACTTACTATTCTGAGTAAACTTTACCACTATGTTTTCTCTCGAGATCTTGCATTCCTTTTTCTTCAGATATAACCAAGTTTAAAGTATTTAAATAATTATTCCACTATATACTGTATATCCTTGCTTGTTTTCATTCTTATATATCTATTTGCAAGTATTTAAAAGATGCATTTATATTTTTATTTAGATTACTTTTACATAGCTGCTTACTATTAATTTTCTGTTTATTTTTTTGTTGACTTCACCTCATTCTCAAAGTGTATTATAGATGTGTTTCTTATGTTTTTTTTTCCTTTTGGATTTTGGTTGATGCACATTATCTACATTTCCTACAAGTTAGTTGAAAGTAGGAGTAAATATTATTATATATTCGGACAACTAAAAAAGAAAAAATGTGATCAGGATGAGATATGCTGAGCCAACAATTGGTAATTCCAGTAAAATTTCTTTACCAAAATAAGTAGTCAGCAAAATTTGAAACTTCTGCTCAATACATTGCAGCATATAAATTTGCCACAGGTCATCAGTCTTTGAAGCATATTTACCTAATGGGATTGTCATATCTGTCATTTTGAGAGGATAAGATGAGAAGCCAACAAAATGGGGGGAGAGGAAGAATGAAACAAGACTATTGAATATGAAAGTATGAAGGAACTGGGTTGCATATACTTTAATAAAATCATTAAAAATGCAAGATCTGAGACACAGTAACCATCATACATCACATTTTTTGCCATACCTTTTGTCTGTTTTCTTTTACCCCACTCGCAAATCCTACAGATAAGCAGAAGAAAGAGTAGACAAAAGGAATGATCTACGTAGGGATCACTGGTTGAAATCTCTTTCAATCTCTTTTTTAAAAAATTTGAAGGACATCTTTCTGAATGAAAATTTTAAAACCTGACAAAAGAGACAGGACAATGTAGCAAATGCAGGTATTGTCAGAAGAAGAGATGAAAAAGTAGGGCCAATACAGAATGGGGAAAACCAAGGAGAAAAAAAATTATCATACAATGCAGAGCTGTTATATTTAGCATGTTTTAGAAAATAATATTCCTGAAAGAGTTACAGTAATAGAAGTGCAGCATCTCTGATTTCTGGGTGTTTGCACCCAGTTGTTTTTGGATTCTACCAAATCTGTTGGGTTTCTGTCCGTAGAAACAATCAGGTTGTCATGTTTTTCCATTATTTTCTTATTATTATTAACAGAACTTTTACATGTTGCCTTTTTGCTTCAATATTTAATGTCCAGAGACTGCTCTGTTTAAAATTATAATTAAGGGAAAATTACAAATTACATTACACTAACTAAGTCTTATTGTCCTTTAAACATTGCATTTGGAAATCAAAACATTATCACCAAACCATTCATCAATAACTAGAAGGTGCAGAAAGCAAAAAGTACTGCTGATTAAATTGCTGATATATATAACTGGGTCACTTATTCCAGTGTTTTTATCAAAATCATGCAGTAGCTCAGACAATTTACCTCCTGAATCTTGCTTTTGGCCTAGGTCCCCAGAAGGCATCAATGTTGGAAAAAGAACATGATTTTAAAAAAAAATCCTGCAGTAAGTTTGCCTAGCTACAGGGCTTCTTGTGAGAACTGGGTTTCAAGCAGTGAAAGGAGATAGCAATGCTAAATAAGAACGGGTAGGCTTATGCTTCTCGCTGCTTTTTGTAAAAGGGATTTAAATATTTATGCCTCTCCTTAATTTCTGTTTCAGATCCTGTAGTAATAATGCAAGTCATTCATCCAGAAGGCAACCATTGCCTTTTGGGAAGAAAAAAAAGATTTCCCCCAGGCATGTTCACTTGCCTTGCTGGATTTATAGAGCCTGGTAAGTTTTCTTTATATGTATACTGTTTTAAAACTTTTTTCCTCCTTTTTTTGTGAGGGTGGGGGAGGGAAAGACAGGGACACAGTATTGATTTCTAAATAGCACCTTTTTGATAAAAGCATGTTACCATTTCTGTTCCTGAAATGAGTGAAATTCCAGTCACATATATGGTAGGTAGGTAGGTAGGTAGGTAGGTAGGTAGGTAGGTAGGTAGGTAGGTAGGTAGGTAGGTAG